AAAAGGTGTGATTTGAACACATAGAATCATAGGGCTAGAAGGGATCTCACGAGGTCCAAGTCCATTCCCGCATGCTTACGCATAACCAAGTATACCAAGGCCATACCTTAGAGGTGTTTGTCTAACTCGTTCTTTTAAAACTGCAGTGATGGAGATTCCACAATCTCAACTTGTAACCTATCCAGTACTTCACTATCTTTATGTTAGATTAAGAAAAAAGTAACCATAAAGCACCCATGCAGCAGATTAATCCCATTACTTCTTGTCTTATTTTCAGTGGACATTGAGAATAATTTACCCACGTCCTCTATAAAAGCACTTAACATACAGTATTTGAAAACTTAGTCTCCCCGCTAATTCTTCCTTTCTCAAGAATAAAAACAGACCAGTTTTGTTAACCTTTCCTCATATATCACGTTTTCTAAATTTATCATTTTTGTTGTTCCCCTCTGGACTCTCTCCAATTTGGCTAAATATTTTCTAAAGTGTGGCTCCCAGAACAGCACACTGTACTCCACTAAGACCGCACCAACGCTGCAGAATGGAACAATTACCATCCATATCTTAACATACAACACTCCTATTAATGCACCCCACAATGATATTTGCCTTTTTCACAACTGCATCACATTGCTGAATTATAAGTCTCTTCGTGATATACTATAACCCCCAGATCCTTTTCAGCAGTACTACCATCTAGCCAGTTATATTCCATTTTGTAGTTATGCTTGATTTTTCCTTCCTAAGCACAGCATTTTTGTGACCCAGGAACCAGTTGGTGCCAACTGGGAGAGGGCACAGAAGGTACATAGTATTTTGCAGGGATCCCCTGGATCGGATATATGCATGATAGTTCACTGAAGGATAACATGTAGGGTCTACCAAGAGCCAGTAGCCCACTGGTCATCATAATCATTGCAAAATATATGTATAGTTAATATTTAAGGAGTTACATATCTACACTAAAAATTATACTTTTACGGTCTTGGAGTTAAGGCAGGTAACCAGGTGACATTCCTTGGAAACGTTCCTTTCAGGCAGCAAACACCTATGTCCCTGTCTGGCTATTTGTGTATTATATCCCTAATAATGTATGCCTATTTGCAGACTAAGCCAGAAGCAAATTAAGAGATTGTGAAATCAACAAAAGCAAAAGTCTACAAGAAGAAACAAAACAGAGGGGGATTCTGTTTATGAATAAAGACAAAGGATTGTTCTGGCCTATCTTGAAGTGCAAGGGGACAGATGGGATCCTTCACCTAGGAGGCAAACTGACAGTGTGCTTGTCTCAAGCAGGGTCATAGCTAAACCCAGCTGTAAAGCACTGCAAGGATTTGGGGTGAGTATTATTCTACAAGACATAAAAGTATTTGCCCATTAAATCTAGGCTCTAGAATGCATGGTATTTTATCTGGTATGTGATCATTTGTTTCCAATACTTCTACTTGCTACTAGTTGAATCTTTATGCTTTGTTAAATAAACTTATATTTATTTGACTATACACATATCTAAACACTGCATGTTAAGCAGAGCAGTGATGTGAGGTGGAAATTGTAAGATGGGGTGTACCTTTTTTTGGAAATAGCAAATCTCTGAACATTGCAAGTGACCAGTCAATGGGGCACTGAAAGGAGACGCTTAGAAGGCTTCAGGGTTGAAGTGTGCCAATTGCTATCCCGCAGAGCAACAGCAGGACCTGTGAAGCATAGAGGGGAGCACTTGTGCTGGCTAGGGCCAGTGGCGTTGGAGAGCTGAACAACAGTTCAGAGAAAGCTTCCTCACACTAAAGGCAAGCAGTAGCAAGGTGCCTCACAACCCTGAGAAGTATCAAACTTTGCACTTGTCTTTACTGAATTTCAGCTTATTGATTCAGATCAATACCCCAATTTTTCAAGATTACAGCACAACCTCCTTTATCCGATCTAACTGGGACCGAGGCCAGATTGGATTATCAAAAATTGAGGTAATCCGGAGAATGGGAAAGTGCGAGGCTGCAGCACCATCTAGCAGCCACAGGAGAGATCATCCGCTTCTGGACGTGTGCATGCTGGTTGTTCAGTTAATACAGAGAGGCAGATAATGGATGGTTGGATAAATGGGTTTTTACTGTATTTGAATTTTAACCCTGTGCTCTAAAGTGCTTGCAACAACGCCTTCCCCCAAGATTGGTATCATCTGCAGTTTTGTAAGCATATTCTCCATTACATTAGAACTTTAATGAAAATATTGACTAATACCAGATCCAGGATAAATCCCTGCATTAACCCACTAGATCAGGGGTGGGCAAACTACGGCCCGTGCGACCGTCCTGCCCGGCCGCCGAGCTCCTGGCCCGGGAGGCTCGCCCCTGGCCCCTCCCCTGCTGTCCTCCCTTCCCCGCAGCCTCAGCTCGCTCACTCTGCCACTGGCGCAACGCTCTGGGCCGTGGGGCTGTGAACTCCTGGGGCAGCACAGCTGCAGAGCCCAGCCTGACACGGTCTCTGTGCTGCGTGCGGGCGGTGGCGGCAGCAGCATGGCCCGGCTCCAGCGCCGCCAGCCACCAGTGCTCCAGGCAGCGCGGTAAGGGGGCAGGGAGCAGGGGTGGTTGGATAAAGGGCAGGGGAGTTCGGGGTGGTGGTCAGGGGGCGGGGGTGTGGATGGGGTCAGGGCGGTCGGTGGGGGGAGAACAGGAGGTTGAATGGGGACAGGGGTCCTGGGAGGTAGTCAGGAAGGAGGGGGGGGTTGGATGGGGCGGCAGGGGTTCCAGGGGCAGTCAGGGGACAGGGAGAAGGGGTGGTTGGATGGGGCAAGGGCCCTGGGGGGGGCCATCAGAAATGAGAGGAGGGGTTGGATGGGGCGGCGGGTGTCCGGGGGCAGTCAGAGGACAGGGAGCAGGGTGTGTGTGGGTGGGGCAGGGGTCCCAGAGGGAACGGGGGGTTGGATGGGGCAGGAGTCCCAGGGGGGTAGGGGAGGAGGGCAGATAGGAGGTGGAGGCCAGGCCACAACCCCCTCCCCTATCCGGCCCTCCATGCAATTTACAAAACACAATGTGGGCCTCAGGCCAAAAAGTTTGCCTGCCTCTGCACTAGATATATCCTCCCAGTGTGACAGCAAACTATTGATAACTACTTTGAGTACAGTTTTTCAACCAGTTGTCCACCCACTTTGTGGTAATTTCATTTAGGTCACATTTCCCTCATGTGCTTATGAGAATGTTATCTGGACTTTATTGAAAGCACATCTACACTAGGATTTTAACACACTAGCACACAAGACAAGTTATGTTTTGACATATGTTAATTGGTTGAAGTAACCCTTAATCTTGTGGCTGTGGATTACCTTAACCAGTTAACAGTTTGCCTTGTCTAAACTAAAATGTTAACACATTCAATACACAGATTAAAAACACATCTTTTCCCCTAGCATAGATATGGCCTAACATGGGCTAAACTGGTCTGGTTAAAACCCAGGCTCCCCACTAGGCTTTAACTCAACCACAGCAGTAGATGTTCGGGTGTACACACTAGACCAGGGGTCGGCAACGTTTGGCACGCGGCTCGCCAGGGTA